ATTTACTTCCTTCCTATATTTTAACATAGTAATTAATGAGTTGTACAAAGTAAACGCCGGCAATAAACTAGGGTCTGCATGTTGCGCTATAATTCTAACTTAATGAGGAATGCAGTGTACGCTCTCAAGTAAGTTATGTTTTAATTACATCGCCCGCTTTGTATATTCTCCATACATACTCTATACATTGTATGCTAAATATATTTGTCGTCTTTAACTTTACATACACCTAAATAATTTACTCAGTAAAGTCGAACCTGGATAAACGATACCGTTCGGCCGACTGACAACTTTATAATGACGATCATAAGCCACAAAGTCTGGTTAGAGCGAAAACTCTATAACATATCAAATATGATTCACAAAGATTGAATACATTTTTAGGGTTCCGTACCTCATAGGAAAAAAAACGGAACCCTTATAGGATCACTGTTTAATTTATTTCTTAAATTTATAGATCTCAGCCGCGTCCATTACAACCTTTCAAAGTTCATCAAAATCATTCCTGTGTTTTAGATACGCATAGTGATAGAATATTTAATTTAATATTATTTATCTAAAAGAGTGATAAATTTAATAAAATCTTGATATTTATAAATGTAAAAGGAAGTAATCTCTCAAACGGCAAATCAAAAAACATCGACTTCCTTCGAGTTCGTTCAAGTTAGCAGTTTTTAATTGAACATTCGTTTTGGTCAATTTTTGCATGCGTTCGCGTGTCAATACACTTTTTATCGACCTTGTATAACACATTGATTGGTTATCGTTAGCTTAGAGAAATATGGATGTCACGGTTAAATTGCACCACAAGTTTATTTGCGATCTCACTAATTTAAAATAAAAGAAAATAAACTGTAATTAAGATTACAAACATTACTTTAAAAAGTGACTGGTTTAACTATACTGTTGACAATAACGCGAAGTAGCTCAAATCAGTCAAATTGTAAATTTGACTAATTGAGGTTGAAAGGTAACAATGATTTAGTTAATTCGTTAGTGTAATAACAAATGGATGATATTTAAATTTTTACGGTGACATGATTTTAACGAAGGCCTAATACGTAATACGTATGCATAGAGCGATGAATATAAGAACTATGTAAATTGGTTAACAGCCGGTTTCTGAGTTATTTGTGTTGTAAATCTTATAAATATAGCGGGACCTACGCCCACGCTTAAAAAATACGGTATTATGAATTATTGCTTACGACAAATAGTTTTTATATCAACCCATACATTTTACTTGGATAAAGTAACACGAATAACAAAGAAATTTTAGAGATAAAAAGATTATAAAATAAAATATATTGATAATAATAATAAATCCCTAAGATTTTGTCGGAAGAAAATCAATGTGAATTATTATAAAATTAATAAATAAACTATTTATTTCTTATTAAAACTACGATTTATAATACGCTCATTAATTCAATGCAACGCACTATTTTTACCCTTTCACTGTAGATTTACTTTTACTAATTAACTATGTTTATTTAAAATATTTAGCCACGAAATTTAGGACTATTATTTTGAACGCATCGTTGCATGTCCAAAAAAAGTCTTGTCTGCTTTCCCTCTTAAAATTACAACGTTCAGAACTATGCTAATGCATAAATAATAGTATATTCAAGTGTTTAGATAAATGCAGTAATGAATATTTACGACAGTATACAATTTAAGAAGTGTGTAATAAATTACATTAAATTTATAATATTACCGTGACTAAACGCATGCCAGTTATTGCCTCCATTAGATCAGAAAATTATATTTAAGAGCTTTTTAAATTTAGAACGGTTCAAACACTTTCTTATCTTAAAAAAAACAATTTCGATTTGAATTTCGAACAGTACGGTCTAAACAAGCGTATTCATGTCGATGGCCAGTATCATATTAATCTTAAGGGATATAAATTCGAAAAAATACGCTTTAATTTCCTTAGAATTTTATCCTTAAAACTAGTTATAAAGAATCCTATTATGTTTGGTTTGTTTTTGCTTACTTTAATGTTTTTACTAAGAACTCTGACTGACATTGAGCTATCAATATTCTTTGCACGCATCCGATGTCGATGCAGGCGGCTCATACATTTGCAAAAGCTCGTTTTGTCCTTTTAGCCTTTTTCCCTAGACAACTGTATAATTAAAGTCGAAATCCTTTAACCATCGTCTCCAAGAATCTATTGAAATAAACCAAGATAAGGACACAAAGTATTCAATTGTAAATGCGATAAAAACAAAATTCTATGAGAACAGATCGCCTACAAACATGGAGACGCAAAAATTAAGGGATTTTTTTATCATTAATTTTTATTAAGATGTGCCAAATAATCTTTTACTTGTGGTTCAAATAATTTCAAATTTAGCACCAAGGCAGAAGTTCTTTTGAAATGAACAAAACTGCTAAAAAATAATTTTCGAAATCACTTAACAATACGGATAAGATTTCTATAATTGAAAATACAAATAATAACAATTACTTCGTTGCTATAACAAACTAGGATAGGATATACTAAATCTAGAAGTCAACTTGTCATCAGAAATAACATCTCATTACGTTGTCGACGTCGTCAGCACGAATAAGGACAAAACCAATTTAATTCGCAAACTGCACTTGTTGACACTCCTATGAAGTAACCAACATTTGCGACCTTTTATGAGACATTTTGTGTTAGTTTTCTAATAAACATTTTATACGTTTTGATTTGAATGATGACATAATTAGACTCAGAATTATTTACTTTAAAAAAAGAAGAAAGTTCCAGTTGCCTCTCTATGTTTTAATTTCATGAACTCAAGTTGCGTCGTTAGACCAGAGATGTTCAGCTAGTAGCTAAGTAAAAATTGTATGTCTTACAGTCCGAGGAAATGATTAAATCTGGTTACTATCGTTATAAATATTAATGTACAACGGTCAGACACGACGGAACATCCGTCACGTATCCTCCTTCCTATGTCGCGGTTAAACAACTTAATTCTACGGCACTGTCTCAAAAGTCTTAATTGTACAGTCGCGTACAACATATTGCGCGCGCGACTGTACCTGTACAGTCAAGTAACGTTTATGACCTACTAGCTGACGTCTGCGACTCCTTCTGTACGGAATTTAAAAAAAACCTTAATAATTACTTAATGTGTTCTTTTAGACGACTTTCTACATTTATACCAAATTTCAGCGAGATCCATGCAGCCAATCTGGAGATATCTTTAGACAAACATCCATCAAAACATTCGCATTTATAATATTAGTAAGGTAACATGTACAGTCGCGTACAATATCATGCTTGCGATTGTACTTGTACATATAAGTGGGAAACTGTTTTGCAAATCGATAGATCTAAAACATCGATTACCGTATATCTGTGAGATTCTATAACAATGCTTGGCATTTATAGGGTCTTAGAAGAAGACTAAATGAATGCGTATTGCTTAAAAAAGTTACTTGATTATAGATGATCAATTTCCCACATGTATGGAAATCTATGCGTACAAGAATATGCAACAATAGACACACTATTATCTATGATACTCATGATGTAAAAAGATTTATGAAAACTTTTTTATACATTACACTACATCAGAATTCCGCACCCAGAATCATCGTCAAAGTAATCATTAAGGGAGACATTTAGTGTAGGTTCACTATTAAAAATTAACCCTAAGTGACTGCACTGATAATTAAATAAATCCATGTACGATGTCAGACAATTTTTAACAATATTGTGGCTTACAAATTATCTATAAACCAAAGTATTTTTTAAACAATTTCGTAAGACTTATTGTAATTACTTGATTTATATTTTACTTGACTTGACTTAATATTAAATTACTTTCTTAAATATAATTTCACGCGGAGAAATTCATTTTATATATAAAGAAGATATATCTAAGATAATGATGGAGAGTTTTAAATAAAAAGCGCGGTAATTATGCGAAGTAACTTGTCTCGCTCTACCGACAGTAATCTGATTGTTATAAAAGATTAGATGTTAAAAAATATTTTTAAGCGAAGAAAAAAATCCTATAAAACTCAACCGGAATCATAAAATCTTAAGCCCGATTTAAACTTTAGCAAGAACAATAATTAGTATATATATCAGGCAGTTTAGTAATAATTTACAAGGTTTTCTTCTTTCCGTGGTTTCGACGGAAGAGGGGTTAAGTTAACTCGCACTGGACTGGCCGAAAAATAGGTCCGGTGTCTTAACCAGCAACTTATTACTTTACTTGCTGTTGACTCAATTTAACTCGTTAAATTAGTCTTTAGAAGAAGGTAGAGTGTATGGTTAAGTTAAGATTCTCATTCAAAACGCAGTAGTAAGTATTCCTTAACCTACGCTCATCATGTCAGGTAATTCCTGCAACAGCCGTTACTGCTAGCTACATTTTCCTGCATTAATATTTAAACTTACTGCAGGTACGATCTTACGAATCGACACATTGAGAAACTCTACGAATCTTATTATTATTAAATGCTGCTCAACGGCGTTTACTATAAAACAAAATAGTCTGAATTTAGTATGTATCCTTCATTTACTACATTTTTTTTTAAATACACTGGTATGTTGACTTTCTAAGAAAGTGTTGGGTTTACTCATACAGACTGAGTCACAACACAAACCCAGAAGGGGTACATTTAAACACCTTTGTGTGATTCATTCAAAGTTCCTACTTTTACCACATGTAGTTAAAAATGAATGTCATTAAAAAATGTAGACAGTACTTTCGTCTCGTCGGATCTAACGCGCTAATCATTCGTTTAATTGGTCCGCAAATAAAAGCTACCGACAATTACTCCTAGCTATTGTAAACTGCGTATGTACGCTTTCGCCATACATATCTCCCAATTTAACTTGACCTACACCTCCCCCCGCGAGCAATAATACCTCGGGCGTGAAAGGGGTGTTTTCCCACTGCAAGGAGTTCACAAACAAAAATGCAACGGTCTGTGCAGGCCAGTGCAACCTGTCACAAGTTCAAGAGCAGGCACGCGGCCCCGCCAACGACAGAAACGTCTCGACCTTTACGCGACGCGCACGTACCGCACGGTTACAGAAAAGCGCAGTGTTTTACGAGCAATTCGAATTCAGAAGTCGTAGTGTTTTTTTAATCTATAAGGTTTTTGCTGCCAGGTCGTCGGCCAACCAACGATGCAGAACCTCATACGGTGAGTTTATTGAATTAAGTTTTCGTCTTAACTTTTAAAAAACCATTAAAATTATTTTACAACTCATTTTTTAGATTAACTTGAGTTTAAACATTACTATAAAAGTAACTGAAGGTAATAAAACTAAACTTTTAATTAATTTTTTGCATTATTAATTTGGATGCTTCTATGAAAATTTTGATACTTATATGGGCACGATAACCAAATGATATTCGATAAAATACACCAACAAAATAAATAACACCAAACCCTACGTATAAAAAGCTTTTAAAATTTTAAGAAAAGTATATTCATTAAGGAATTCTATAATAGCTTACAAAGAAGTTACATTGAATGCTGTTTAAGTCAATTTGCGTGCAACAAATTCACGCAACTTTAAACTTTAAGTTTTAAAATTCAGACATTGCTAAAATAATTTTTGCACGTTTTTGAATTTATGAGAATAATTATAATTGACGAGAAACTTTTAAACTTAAGTAATTATAAAATATTAAAGTTTAAAGCAATATTTTCAAATATTAGGTTTATTTGACTACACCTTTATTGCGTTGGTTCAATCGTTTCGCTTGACTGACGACTTGGTATTCGGCAAACAATACCGGCTTAAGTCCTTCAGTATGTGACTTTAGACCCTTAATATACATTGGCATTATTAAGATCTATATGCTACTAGCTGTCGCCCGCGACTCCGTCCGCGTGGATATATAAAAAAAACTTGTTTAGTGTAGCCCACCCATCCATCCATCCACATCACATCCATCTAAACATACGCATTTATAATATTAGTAAGTTAAATAAACCACCCTTAACTTAGGGTAGGCTCCGAGCCCCTCGGTGAGGACGTATAGTGAGCTGATGATGATGAAGTTAAATACAAAGCAGCTCTTCAAGGCATACATTCTAAAAAAAAAAAAGAATAAATAGTATCCTATGTCCATCTCCTGGTTCAAGCTACTTCCTCACCAATTTTCAGCCATATCGGTAAAGCCGTTCTTGAGTTATAAATAGTGTAAGGACTTTCTTTTATATATAGAAGATTAATTAAATGTAGATATAATTTAGTATAGTAATAATGCAATTTAATTTTATGTTGATTTCTAATACTATGATAGTTGCGAATAAATTGCATGGTGTACACAGTTTGACGCTTATAAAGTTCAGTCTAGTCTAAAAACTACCTGAGAACTGTTTGTCGTCTTTTGTGTGGGTTTATATTATCGATATACAAAAAGATATGCGTTATCCGTGTGCTGTAATTTCAGCAGTGGAAATTGTCAGTAATTTTATTTATTTCATATTAATATAAATTCCAGCCTTGATACCTTCACGCGTTTTTTAGAAAAAGGGTCTTGACAGACAGACGGACGGACAACAAAGTGATCCTATAAGCGTTCGATTTTTTCCTATGAGGTACGGAACCCTAAAAACTATAATTTTATGCAATAATATTTCTTATTAAATACAATATAAATAATGAGTTACTATTTTCCACTCTTAGTGTCATTTAAGTATGATTAAAGTCTGCTTAAGACTGTCACTGAGGTTTTTTGTTATGTTTTGAGTTCGTATTGAATACAATAGAGGGAGCCCTCGCACCCGTTTGTAAGATTTTATCAGTCGCGTGAACCCTTTCACAAGATTGAATTTGTACTAAAGCTTATAGTTTGGCGCGTGTTTCCTAATTATTTTATTCATATTTAATGATAAACGTGTCTGTTTCAATTTGTCGTAATCTGTATATGTATAGGTATATTATTCTTATATAAAAATATGTATCATAGTTTCATTGGCAAATCTGTAATTGAAAAAAAAACCTTGAAAAAATATATAAAACACGTATCTGTAAATGTTTAAAGCTTGAACTACATTTTGGGAGTACATCAGTATGCCAGCAAATTCTGGTTAAAGCGACCACAAATGCGGGCGCATGATAAAGTTTTTTAACACATTTTCTTTATGATTTTATCACATAAAAGGCTTTTGAAACCATTCACCTCTTCGTATTATTTGTATTTTATTTAATGCATTTCTTTCTATCATTATCAACAAACAGAAACCCCGTTAGAAGTAAAGTTTAATGTCCGCAAACCACACATGCCTTTGCCTATTTGTATAAAAAAAACGAAACCTTGTCTATGGTCAAATATTTGAATTCGGAATGATCAAAGATATCGCGTGTGGTCCCCGATTCCGGGAAGACGGGATGCGTGTCCCCGGATGAAGATTAGCCGACAGACATTAATTGCACGATCGCATTGCAGATTATTTAATCTATGACTTTATTTTTTTTAATTGGAACACTACGAAGTCTGCAGTTAGTTTTTATGCTCTGCTTTTGTACAGACCACGTTTAAGAATGGAAGGACAGCCTCTAAGCATATTTGTGTAAAGTACAACATTAATTTGATAAAAAGGCGTAAGAAAATTTTGTATTTTCCTTTAAAAAAAAGAAATAGGAAAGTATTGTTATTGAATCTGTAAAAAGGTTGTACTTGACAATTTAACTATGATTGCACGTCAGTCTGTGTTGTAAAGTCGTTGAGTTATCGTCGAGGTTGTCGTAAAGTCGTGGAAAAGCGTACGAGCACAATAAGGCATTAGGTTCGGTGCGACAAATGGCCGTTTGGCCGAGTGTGTGACCGTTAGATGAGATTCTCTGGGCTCTGAGTTTACTTTACCTATTTAAGAACATACACGAACTCCAGTTACAATGTATCACACAACTATTGAATAGCAACATAATATAATTTATACTCAACTAGTTGTTGCTGCATTTTACAGCCAATAAATACAATTTGCCGCCAAATTTAAATAATTTTTTTTTCGATGGCGAATGTCGTAAATATTCGTGATAGGCCGCTATAGTTTTAAGAATTATGAACCTCAAATAACTAACAACTAACTTCAATAAACTAACCTTACTTCACAGATAGTATATTTCGTAAGTCTTACTAAAATGTGACTATAAGAAGTTATGGTAAAAAAGTAAAAACAACGGTTAAGGATTTAAATAAACCATAAACAATCGTTCATCATAAACAATAGAACAGTCATAGATTAATTTTTGTATAGATTGTAAATTTAAATAATTCCAACAGTGACCATAACCTAAAATATTTATAACAGTTGTTTGAACATCTCAATGTTTTCCCGCGAAGCAAACATAGGATGCGTCACTTTTAGGGTTCAAGTTCAGAGTTAAAACAACTGTAGCTACAAAAAAATAAAAAGTCAAATCTGTTTGTAACGCGAAATATATATAACCCAATGTTATCTTTATAAGTGTTGTTTTTAAATATTTATTTAACACTTGTATACAATAAGTAGGTAGTCATAAAAAGCGAAATCGGAAAGCTCAAATATAATAAATACAACCGTTGTAATGACATTTGAAACTTTAAGTATCGATTGAGGTATACAAAAATTGTTTTTATTATTCAAAATATTAACATGATTGTACACTTTAGCTCAAGTAGCGAAAGTTCTAGTGTTTATTGATTATCATTGTTGATTTTAAATCGCTACTGCTTTCGCGTTTAAAAGTTTTTATCTGTATTTGGAACCATGGAGCAATTATTAGACTAGATCAAGATGTCTGAAGATAGAGCTAAGCGGAAGAAATTAAGAAAGCTGACCACATATGGGAAGCTAAGAAGATTATTCCACTGCCAACAACCCTACATAAAAGCATGTTTTCGTCCAGATGGATCAATGGAATAAGAGCATAATTATCTCTATGTTTTCGAAGTTATAGTACTTGAGTAGAATTAGTTTTTTTAAAATAGAAATTCACTATAAAGAAATGGAAATAAATCACAGTTCACACTAATATTATCCGGATCAATGGGTTTTCTTCTGTATGTAGATATGTACCTGGTTCTTTAATTTCTTTCTCGGCGAAATTGTCGTTTCTGAGACAATAAATGTTTATTTTCTTATGTAAATCTTTACATATATAATTCTTCTGTGAGTGTGTATGTCACTGAACTTCTCTCAAACGACTGGACTGATTTTGATGAAATTTTTTGTGTGTGTTCAAGGGGATCTGGGAATGGTTTAGATTCAAAATTTTGTCCGCTGGCCAATGTTCTTTTAATTAATTTTTAATTTATTAGTAGTTGTTGGTTTTGGAATGTTTTACACTGGATCCGACAGACGGCGCTACCATCGCAGTGTCAAATTGTCAGACAACGTCTGTCGGGTCCGCTAGTGTTCTTCTAAAATTCTCAATACATATTACAACTCTAACATTAACTTGTGAGTTTGTGTAGTCTAGAGTTTGAATAATTGAAGAGAACGTCGTTATCCTGTCGTCTCCTCTGTAATCGTCGATCGTCACTCGAGGCATAACTTTTGCTGCGAAACTTCAACGGAATTATAAAGTTTAAGGCTGCAAGTTGGTTTAATCTTTCAACCACAAACTTCTAGATGCATACCAAAAGTTTCGTTTGTTTTGCGTTTTATCACATAAAAATAATTTTAATAATTAATATTACTACTAATTCTAAGACGATGCATAAAATCAGTCTCTATCTTTGACTGAATCAGAAATAAAAATTATAACCTTCAAAGCAAACGATCTTGTAACCAACATCAAAAATAAATTAAAGAAAGAAATGCACAGATAACGTCAAAAAATGGCGCCATATTTGGAGTCTGCGGAAATACGAAAATGGAATTGCCTCAACACAAAAACATCAAATGAATGCATCTTATATATCGCAATCGGTTATAAAATATCATTTCAGACATGAGATACTGTGATAAAATACCAATGTAAGTGCTCGTACTGATAAAGCTGTTATTACTGCTTTGATGTTGGCAACACTGAGAGCTGTTAATTGGGTGCCCGTTCCGATCATGTTCTGATGCATCAAGATTAGCCGTACATGGCAATATGATGAATATGAAACTCATCAGTCAATGGACAAGTCTCTTAAAACATTGTTTGGAATAAAAAAGATATAAAAATGATATCTTTCACGTTTTTTTTTTTTTTA